CAGTTCTGGAAACTTGTAGTGCGGCTTATATAGTACAAGACAGATTTTATCCTGGAGTGGGAGCGTGTCAGGAAAGCGGAATTGCGAATAATGGCGGCACTAGATGAAGGATTAAGCAAAATCTGCGTAATTGACATTGTGTAAAGAAAAAATACTTTATGTGGTAATCTCGAAAGTTACCAAAATTCAAATGCGGTAATTACGACAAAAAGGGCAGTATAGTTATCTAGCACATCCTCACATAGCTCATTAATATTGTATAGCCACGTGGTAAAGTTATTATAGAACCAGAAATACAATTAACAGATCTATCGGCAAATTGTTGAATTAGCAAACACTGATCAGTGACATAACGTTAATTATCGGTCTTTACCACGGAAGAAAAAATCAATGGAAGTACCTTATGCTTCGATTACTATCAAAACCGATGTCGCCAAAACTCACATATTCTTAATTTGAAACACAACAAAATCTTGATATTGATTTGTCGTAGTTTCAAATTTAAAAAGAAATAACAAATTCTGGATTGTTAATGCAATTTAAACTTTATTTGTTGACAATATCGTTGAAAGTTCAATACTATGAATACCTATTAATGCTAGTTGCGACGTTTTCCTGCCATCTAGCGATTAATTGCAGAACGACGACAAATTTGAGTTATTAATTTAATTTTTTTTTGAAGAAGCGACAATATTGCAGTGGTATAAGCTTTACTTTCGTTTCTTGTAACAAAAAAATATTTCGATAAAAATAAAATTGATAATTTCTTCAAGACTCCGATGTTATGAACTATCACCACGGGTAATATTTCTGGTGCAGCTATCATTTTTGCACTCCAAAACAGCACAATAAAGCATTTTTCTAGGATTTTAGAAAATTTGCACGAAAGAATGACCATACCATACCGTACAAAGCGACATTGGCGGACTGAGCTCAGATAGCTCTTTCAAGACCTATAATTGGCACGCGTCGAACGCTATCTAACCACTTCTACTGTATTTATTGTCCTGTGGTCTGTACATATGCTTTTAAGCCTGTAAGTATTTTCGCGCGAAACCGAGGACCTGTTCGTATGTTTTCAGCTCACGCTCGCATCCATAGCTGAATATGTGAACGGCGTCGCGTAATGCCAAAAATCAACTTGAGATCGCTGTTTAGGTTCCAAACGCGCAAATTAGTCCCTTTCGTACCTTAACGTATGTATGTGTGTATTTTCATCTCTATTGTCTAACCAAGAAGAATCAATAGAGGTAAAAAGGTGATAAAATGGATTAGGAATTTATGCACCTTAAACATTAGCAAAATATGTGTCGACGACCTCCGTTATCCAGTGCTTTGCATCCCGGTTTTCATTGTTTTGCCATTTTTAATGTCCCGGGATTCATCCCCAGCCGGGTTAATGTGGAAAAACTAACTTTTCTATATTGTCTCGGGCACCCTTGAGATATAACTATATATAACATATAACTCTTGGTATCGTGAAGAAAGTTACCAAGTGCAAAAGGTGCAGACCGGATGCTTTCAATCGAGAGTAAATACTGTTGACATTCACTACTCTTTGTTTTGGTTATACCTGTTTGAAGGTCAGATAAAATACAAATTGAAAATTAAAGCTGTAGTAGGAGGGGGTGTAGAGGATGGTAGAGGTTTGCTCGGCTAGCTGGTGTCCCCTTACGTACAGGAACCAAACATCGGAATTCGGTGAAGATAATTTGATTTATTGTACAGAAGCTTATAATAGCGTGGACGGGCTCGGAAGACGTTTTGATGCTGTCATAGAGCACAGGACGCCGGCACCGGTTTCGATGTTATATCATGCCTCCCGTTTCCTACGTCTCCGACATCCTATCGAAACCGTAACGTAGGCTACCATAGATTTAACCAATTTGTCTATGGTAAATCGTGGTTTTAAATATGAGTTCGTCCAAGGAAGTACTGCCACATTACTTATTTCTACCGCCAAGCAGTATTGTTAACATTACTGCGTTCCGGTTTAGAAGGGTGAGGGTGTTGGTGAAATTACAGGCACATGGGACTTGTCAACTTTATGTCTCAGGGTGACGGGCGCCTAAGTGCCTCGCAGTGCCCCTCAGATCTTTGCGATTTAAAGCTCTGAGTGGCACTGCAACTGGTATGGACAAGCATGTAGCTTACCATCAGGCGCACGACTTGTTCGTCCCGTCACTTGATATTATAAAAAAAACATTTCTTTATAATTTTTAATTAAATTAATTTAATTTATTATTATTTAAAAATAGGATATATTAATTTTTAATCATGTTAAATTTGAGAAAACGATTTATCCTAAAATGAATTGACCAACGTTCAATCAAAGGGAGGCGCGGGGCGCTGCATCATAGTCAGTCGTAACCTTTGTAGTCCTTCAGTTTTTAATTTAAAGTGGTGTGTAAAATCTGTTTTTTCACTATAAACTCGAAATATTTCATATAGCTGTATGTGCCGTGTGGGATAAGAAAGTGGACACTAACATTAACAAATTGTTCGTTATTGATTAGTTCGTGTCAGTGATTTGCGCCAATGATCTTGGGTGGCCGTCGATCATTGACTTGTAATCCTTTCACTTTTTTTGTACTGTCCGTTTCCGCATCACCTGACCGCTAAATTCGTCAACATCGCTACAGTGTTCCATAGCTAAGAGATTATATGCGTGACACGCACTGGCGCGCGGCATAAGAGACTCGAGTACGTGGGATAAAGAACAAAGCAAATTTTTTTTATTTATTTTTCATTTTTTAAATTTTATTAGTGATCTATTAGACATTTATTTCGCCATTATTATTTTGTAGAACATAACAATGAACAACGAAAACAATAAGTGAGGTGGTAAACTATTTCTGCGATGCTGCGTGTGTTGTCAATGTTATGACCTGGAATGTGCAGGTGTATCAGAGCAGCGCTTCCGTAATACATTGACAGATGAGCAAGCTGATAATAAGTAAGCTGCCGAAGACCGATACTAATTATTTCTTTTTTTTTAAATAATCACGTGATACTAACACATATGTACACTATATTCACCTTACAATGCTTTTGCTTTTGAGGCACCGCAACGCGCTACCCTCGAAAGTGGTGGTTGAAAATCAGTGCCTTGCTGTTGGCTAAATTGTGCACTAAGCCACGACCTATTTGTCTTGCTTTAGCACACACAAGCTATTGATCATTAGGTTAGTATTGTTTTTTTTTCTTTAATTTTGATTTCTGTGTGTCTCTTGTAATCAATTTACTTTATTATATTGTTGTGTGTGTGATGCAAGACAATAAACGTTTTATCTATCTATCTAACGTTGTAACGTTCCGTTACAAAGTGACCCTGCAAATGTTATGGATACACCAGGCACACGACTTATTCATTACGTCACTTGATATCGTAACAACGTAAATAAAACACTTCATGACAGTATTGTTAATAGGTAAATATATTCATGAAAATGTCTGAATGATAGCTTATTCGTTGTTTTTTATTAGTTTTTAACACAAATTTTGACAGCTTGGTAGCCCTGTGTACCTTTGGAATTAATATGACTTTTTATAAATAAAACTCAACTCGTGTAAGGCGTGTATACGCGATCTTGTTCACATTACAAAGTGCATTCATCAATCAAAGTTGTTTTGTTTGCAAGGCATTATTAAGAAATGTTTGAGAAGCGAGCAGAAAAAATTATGAAGGTCAACAAGAAACACATTAGGGCTGCACGACAGGGCGCGACTATGGCGCGACCAGGGCTCCGTCACAGGGTCTGGTGTCATTAGTCAGATTTAGTAGACTATTTATTATAGCGGAAGTATTTTCGATTTTATATGAGTGATGTATCTGTTACGTTGTAACCACAGATATCAGATTATTACCAAAACGCCACTTGATGGTAAATGACTGAACCAGGATGAACAAAGTACTGAAATATTGCAATATAAATCTTACTCTCTAGTGACTGTAAGTTTAATTTTCTGGGGAACTTCAGCATATAAAGCAAGTCCTACATGCGAATAAGTTGAGGATTCCACGCCAATGCCGCAGACCCCGTGTGAAACCACCAACAGTCGAGCGAAGACCTGCCATCTTACCTTACGTGAGAGGTGTTACAGACAAGATCGGAAGAGTCCTCAGGCGCGCATCTATCAAGACCTATTTCAAGCCCCTGAGGAAGATTTCTCAGTTCCTGAGACCCGTGAAATGTAACATCCCCTTACAGGATGCAGGAGTTTACAAGCTTGACTGTGAGTGCGGTCTCTCTTATATTGGACAAACAAAGCGAAGTATTTGTACCCGCGTCAAAGAACATATAGCTGATGTCAAACACCGTCGCGTAAACAAGTCTGCAGTCTGCGAGCATGTCATGGATAAACCTACACATTCAATGAAGTTTGACAAACCCCAGGTCCTTGCAAAAGAAGTCCGTTATCTGCCCAGGATGCTGCGAGAGGCCATTGAAATTAAAAAACATCCTAATTTCAACAGGGAAGATGGTTTCTCCGTACCACCAGTTTGGAATCCAGTATTTCCTCTAATGAAAAATCCCAAACAGACATAAGACTGCAGTACTAATTAATATGTTTTAATTTGTTTTAATTTATTCTAATTTCTATTAATAATTAATAATAGATTAAACTTAATAAAAAATTCATTCAATAAAATAATTTGTAAAACTTAATGTAGCGTAAATTGGAATGTTTTCTTTGTAAAATTAAAAATAAGGTATTTAATTAATAACTATTGTAACTATAGTGAAAAAATAGGGTGGTTTGCATCAATATTAGACATAACTGGTTGAAGACTGTACCACCTCAGTCAACCGTGACCATGGGACCTGTAAAGGGCCCGAAACGTCGGTTTGTTTGAAAAAACAAATATACGCGATTTAAATCCGGAAAAATAGTTTCATTACTAAGTTTAATTTTGTTAAAATTAAAAATTGTGTTATGTCGTCTTCACGTTTTAAGCCCTAACCAATCAAAATCGTTAAGTTATGGTAGTAGATAATAGAGCGTAAAGTTTGAATTGCACACATGCTAAAAAGTGGCGACATCGGTTTTCGATATTACATACAGTCATGACATATCTCCCCTTTTTTTCCTATATCTAAGGTTGTAACTATTAACTAATCTATAGCACGACTAGCGCGAGAGCGACATACAGCGCGAGATACTGCTATTTTCTCTCGCGCAAGTTGCGCCTTGTCGCGCTAGCCCTACTTGTAAAATGATGGCTCTTTAGTTATGACTTTTAATAATATTAAGGTTCATTGTCACCATTACAAGTTAGTTGATAAAATCGCAAGGGCTACTTAGTCAATCTTTGTCCACTTCTTAGGTTTTCGCGATTGTAACACATAGGAAATGGTACTATTTTTTTGGATTTAAGTCGCGTCCATATGTTTTGACAGTCAGCCGTGACCATGGAACCAGTAAAAGGCCCGAAACGTTTGTTGATAGTCATGCCTGATCATGGGACCTATAAAAGGCCCGTGACCATGGTAACAGTAAAGGGCCCGAAACGTTTGTTGATAGTCAGGCTGATCATGGGTCCTATAACGGGCCTGGATTGGTTTTTAATGAAAAAAAGAACAAATATTCGGGATTTGGACAGGAAAAAATGGTTCCATCCTAGTCAATCTTTAATAAGACAGGCAAGATATTCAAGTAGACTAATTTAATACCATCTATTGAGAGTATACAATTGAGATATTTTTATCAAAAAATCGTACACAGTTTTCATAATATAGTATTGGGAGCTCAAAGGAGTCTCCTCGCAGGGCACAAATCCTTTCACCACGACGACGGCAAGCATTATAGTGTATGCCATCGATACGATGGGAAGAAGAAGATTGGGAAGATAATTAAGATGACAACTAGCAACGGATCGTATATGGTTGAATAGAGGATTGGAGGACATACAATTATGTGCTCTTCCTCGAACGATGTTGTGGCTATAGAGGCAGCGCGGTAACAGAACGGATCCAGTCCCTAGCGACGGTGACGTCACTGTATACGCCAGCTTTGTCCGGCTCCGCACACTTGACGCCGAAGGAGACTATGCCCAGCAACTTCCCTCGGTACACGGCCGGACCACCGGAGTCGCCCTGTAATTGATTTCATTTAAATTGATGAATCGAAACTGAGAACATCGATTTTAAATTATTTGCTATTGTATATTGTATGTGGATGTTGGATCCTTAGCAATGCCATACACAAAATAACGATCCAAAATACAAAGTAAAGGTAAAATCCAGTCTTTATAATGCTATATTTCATTGTACAGATCTTGTTCCGTTACAATGAAAGCGATATGCGGACTAAATTGCTTGATGTGCCGTTAACTGTATCTTAATAGACGCATCAGGTCGAAGAAAGTTTTTATTAGACAATAAGGTGAAACATACAGGTAAAGCTTAAATACTACAATAAAAGCTTAAATACTACAAAGTAAAACTAGAATTAAATTATATGATTTTTTTTTAATTGAGTCCCCGCGGCAACGTGCCCAAGGTGCTGGCAGCGTTCTCCCTTTGTATAGCTATGCTAATGCGTTGGGCAAGGTAGCAGCCCTTGGGTTACCCAGATAGTCTATTAATTTTGAAACGTAATTTTGTATAGATGAAGGGCACCGGGACGCCGCGGGCCAAGGGTTTCGACACCAAAGGCAAAGTGTAAATAGTTTGTTGGAACCTAGGTCCTGGTACTTATTACTGTTTATTCTTTCCGCCAGCTCACCTTCAGAGCTAACCCTGTTCTTGGTGTGCTGGAGATAGGATGGGGCAAGTGTGTCGGCACACGCGGCGTTCCGCACCGTTGCCCGGCCCATACCCCAAGGTATGAGAATCATTCCGTCCGGGCGTTTGCCATTAGTTCACGTCATGCGCTTGGCTCTGAGTATAGCGAACACGTTAACCGTGGCTAAGGCCGCGGATGATGTCGTTGAAGGCTGCATGCCGGAAGATACGTCCGGCGCTCAGTTGGCATAAAAGACCGTGGTAACCCAGAACACTTACATCTTTGCCGCAAAAACACCGATGTGGGGAGCAAACTGGGACACCAAGGAGGACGCGTTGGCTTTTCGTTCACATATGCGAAAGATATGAGGTCAGATGTAAGATACTATAAATAAGTATGTGCGTAATTTGACTTAAAATACCTGGCAAGAGTCCTTAGTTCCATTCAAGTAACCAGCGCAGAACATCCTTGGCGTAATCGTAGAAAAAAACATGGTCGGTGGCAGCTGTTTGCAGACATTTTTGTCCATTATTGGTATGAATACACGCCGCAATATATCAGTCATTTTGCCCTGGAAGTGGTTCAATGTGATACATTTAGAAAGTTAGTTCCTGACAAGGTACATGAGGAAACGCCGGTGGCGCGGGTTCCGTCGACAGAGAACCGCCTATCTCAACCAATGCTACAGCTGTACAAATTTTACGGCATAATGAGTCTCTGGGGTCCGCATGCGAAACTCTCAGCTAAGGGGCTTTGTGTTTGCCTCATTAAAGACTTCCATAACTAGAAGATTGGCAGCTAGTTCCACTGAAGAATAATTTTAATTATCCAAAAGGGAAATGTCTCAAGTCTCCTAGGCACGATGCCTTAGCAAACGTACACATGTATGTATAATTTTACAAAGGTGACCGATAGTCAGGCAAAATACGCTCTCCGTGGCTGAAACTTAAGTGTCAATAACAATAAACGTGGCAATGTTAAGATCAGCCGAGCTAAATGTACCCATAAGACAATGGAATTTGTCTTTGTCATTGTCTTGTACAATGGAATTTGTAGAAGCACAATAAAAACCATAACCGTTTGACAAATTTTGCACTTTAATGAGAGGTTAACAATGATCTTACTAATTTTACTGAATTAATCTTTTTGTTAAGGTAACTTCTAATTAATGAAAAGCAACCAAAGTACCTTACCTTATATTTCGTATGACCCCATCCAGAAATCGTGACCAATTCGCCAGGTACAATATCTTCAGGGCTGCCAATCATGATAGGTCTCGAGCTAGGAGTGACAGGTATGGGCTTCTGGAGCAGGATAAGTTGGTAGTCGAAGTCATGCGCGTGCTGTTTGTCCGACAAGAACCAATTGGGGTGGGTGAAGTGGGCGCAGATAAAATATGGCGTAACTTGACTGCGAAACGTTGATCCGGCGTACACCATCTCCTCTTTCTCCCTGAACAATGTGAATGATTTGTCATTTATAACAAAATCGTTGAGAATATATTATCCCAGGCCCAGTACAATCTACAAACACCTGAAAGCTCGTTTGATTAAAAGTATTATTATCATGTGTAGTAGTGTGTGGCAGTGGAATCGTCTTGTCTGATGTACCAAGCTTTCAGGTAATTAGCAAAAAATAATAATAATAAATAGTACAACTTTCGTTAAAGCCACAAGATTTCGTTGTTACGTCTTTATACTTCTTTATATGACAATATAAAGATAGATAAAAAATAAATAAGAAAGATCAAAAATTCAACTGCCTCCGTGGCCGAACGGTTACCATGTCGGACTCCACGTAGAGGTCCCAGGTTCGATTCCCGGGCCGGGAGAAATATTTGTATGGCCTACATTTATTTCTCTCGTGAGTTTGGGTGTAATTTGTGGTTGTCTATGTGTGTGTCCATGGCACCCGCGACACAGGGTGTCCCTAGTGCGGGGCTATGTTGCGTGTGAGCGTTATTATTATTATTATTATTTATTATTATTAATAGAGGAAACACAGGTCAAGGTCATCTCATTTGGCGCCAAAATTTTGAGGTAACCTACTTTGAGGTTATTAACCTAACCGCTACCCTACATGGAACTAATTGGTATATCTGCGTTCGCCAGAGAACTCATGAGTTTCAAAGTGATCACTACAAAACCTAGAAGATGAGCTGAGTGTCCAATTTTTGCAATGCATTAAATAATTAAATGCTTTCTTCTTTTTGTCTCGGTATGACAGCAGTGCACACCTTTACTTTACCATTATACTACACAGTGGCACGTTTTTTAGCAAAGGTACGATTTCCAAATTCAAAAGTCACCTGCAGTGAGCAGCAGTCAGGACCCACTCAGGTGCGATGAGAGCTCCACCGCAATACAGCCCGTACAGCACAGTGTAGGGAGCGTCTGTTATCGACACTTCCTTGCCTCCCACAATACGCCAAGAGATCTAAAATAAACAAAATCAGTCCATTTAAACTAGTATTGACACTGTTTATAACATAACATTAATATACAAATGACCTCGATACGAAACGTCAGATAAATATAAATCCGCCTTTACTGAGAGCAAACATAGCTAAGAAAAATGCTGATTAAATAGCACATTCGTTTGCGAGCTGCAATACGAAATACAGATACACATAAGTACACACTTATAATTTATAATACTCCTCTCCCTCTTTTTGGGTCGAGGGTTAAAATTATACAAATAATAAATTGAAGAATTCTACATAGTTAAAAAAATAAAGAGGTAAAAAAATGATGATGTATAATCTTACCTCATCCCTACTAGGCTCCAAGCTATGAGGAGAGACATCCTCATGGAAGTACCGGTAGTACCTCAAAGGCACAATTCTGGTGATAAAAATCCTGTGATAGTGCTCTACGCATTCTGATACTAAAACTCCTTTGAGGGGGGTAATTTCTGAAACAATGTTTTTTTTCTTACTGCCAGAAAAATATATAACGTACGGTTACGTGACAAAGTCGGGTATACTCAATACTCAATACTCAATATATTTAATGCATTCATATGGTAAACATGTCTTAAATTTAAAATAATGCTACACATTTGAGCCCTTTATTAGGGATAACAATAACAGCAGAGGTAGGCCGAGGTTTCAATTATTAATTAAAATTGTTATTTATCAAATAATAATATAAAAAATGTCATATAATAATAAAGAAATACGTCATATTATGAGTAGAATTATGTCACTTGAAAGTTTGAATTTAATTAGATTATAATTATAGGTATATAATTATATACTATAAAGTCATGCTACTGTAGTGCTACTACAGTAGCATAATATTATAGTATATAATGAACATTTATTTATTATTCAAATTTATTATAATATTATTATTTTTATTTGTCATCAAAGTATTCATTTAAATTGTAATAGCATTTATTCATAAGATGTAATTTTAATTTATTTAGAAACAGTTAATATTTTTCCTCGCTTTTAATAATGGGCGGGAGCTCATTGAATATCCTCACCGACATCGAGTGGGGACTTGAGCTGTGTATGTGTAGCCCAGATCGTGGCAGAAGCAATCTATTGCGTGGTCTAAAAGTGTGTCGTTGAGGCAGGTCGTCAGTGTTAGTGTAAAAGTCAGGGTGTTGTTTAATAAATTTATAAATTTCTAAAATATATATAGAACACAAAGTCAAAATTTTAAATTATTTAAAGTGCGGTCTGCAGCTATCCGTACTACTCAAATTGCCAAGAATACGGATGCATCTTTTCTGGGTTGTAAATATTTCTCGTGCGTGCACACTATTTCCCCAAAGGATAATTCCGTAACTTAAGTGGGAATGAGTGTAAGCTTATTATTAAGCGGCCATCGCAGTCATTGGGTCAATCGTTTTCTTTATCTCCTTCAGTGCGTACGTGAAACTAGACAACTTTTTCTTAATTTTTTGTATATGACATTTCCAATTCACATGCGTGTCTATATTTAAACCCAGCAAAGTGAAGCTGATAGCGGAATAATGTGATACATGTGAACGATGTGGTTTGAAAGTGGACGTAGTGATAAAAAGTAGATTTCGATATGTTGAAATGGTTCGGGCGTAGAGCGGATGAATATTGAAAGAGAAATAGACGAGAAAGGCAACATAGAAAGAAGACGACCATGGACGTTTTCCGTCTAAATCTAGAAAGTTCTTAAAAAGCTTGCTTGAAAAGTTTTAAGAATGTAAATGAAATAAGAGAGATGCCAGGATTGTATAACTGGCGTCAGTATAGGCATGTAACTGTTAGAAAGGGAGTACCTTACTAGTGGTCTCATTCAAATTTAAAGAAAATATTCTACCTCTTAGGACTCATTCAAGGCAGGCGCGGGTGTCGAAGCGGATAGATCCACACGTCGAAAACGCAAACAGACGCTAGACCAAGAACTGTGAAAAGTACGGGCGGCTCGAGCCAATAGATCTGCCCGCGTCGTCTCAAGGTAGGCGCCAGCGTTCGCCCACTGTGAACGCAACGAGCGTCTACGTACATTTGATTTACACGCACCCGCGCGCGCCGTCACTCTGAGTCTCTGAATAAGGCCTAAGGGTGGCAAAGCAAGGATGAATCCGGTTTATTGAATTTTACCCACTTTCAGTTAACCGATGGCAATAAAGCTTGACAAATAGATGTAATTCCAATGAAAGTAAAACGTTATGGCCACCTAAAGCTGATCTGTTATTGTTGAGGATACGCGGTAACGAACACAACTAAAGCGAATGGAGGAACTTTTTAATTAGGTAACATAGTTATATATCGAGTTCTTAGGTTTTCGCGATTGTTACACATAGGAAATGAAATTATTTTTCCGGATTTAAATCGCGTATATTTGTTTTTTCAAACAAACCGACGTTTCGGGCCCTTTACAGGTCCCATGGTCACGGTTGACAGTCAACCGTAAAACCGAAAAATAGTTTCATTTCCTAACATAGTTATAATTAAGCATTAAGATTTTTCGAGTCCTTAGGTTTTTAGAAACTATTTTTACGGATTTAAATCGCGTGTACTTGTTTTTTTTATCAAACAAACCGACGTTTCGGGCCCTTTACAGGTTCCATGGTCACGGTTGACTGAGGTAGTAAAGTCATTGATCAGTTATATCACAGACCAAATACTTTTTTTTCTTACGTGAGTTGTAATGTTTCTTTGTAAAGTTAAAAATATAGTGTAGATATAGTGAAAAATTGGGTAGTTTGCATTAATATTAGACATAATTGCTTGATCACTTTACCACTTCAGGTAACCGTGACCGTTAGACCTGCAAAAGGCTCGAAACGTTGGTTTGTTAGAAAAAACAAACGCGATTTAAATTCAGTAGAATAGTTTCATTTTCTATATTATGATTTTTATTGAATGTCTGGATGTTCTCACCGTGATATTCAATTGTTTTTTTGAAAAATTTCTTCGATACGGCCAAATTCAAAACGACGCACGTCTCCTAGCAAACCGTGTTATACGCTACACCAATTTAGCCACAGAACGAACCAGCATACCTCACGAATTTTTCTATGTGCTGGTTGTCGGATGTTTGTTTTTTTGCTTTTTAACGAATTTTTGCGCCGTAGCGCCATATGTGAGAAATCTATGAAAGTATTTCTTCACCCAGTTAGGTTACAGCTACCAGCAGCTGGCTATAGATGTCGCTTTTAATAGTAATCAAGTTTTTTATTGAATATCAAGATGTTTGACCACAGTTATAATCAATTATTATCATTAAGTTATAATTATTTAGATTTTTTTTTCGAAAAAAGACGGCGTCACTACTCTCTAGACTGCGTTCTAGTCCTTAGAGCATGCTGAAAACGTTTGCGTCTAAGCTCGTTGATAGGTGTTCTTTTGTTTGGTTGATTATGTAACTTCATTGTAAATGATTTCTTTACGCTGGTCCAAGAAAAAGCCTTAATTTTGACCCTCTGCGTTTTATTTCCATTTATCTTACACAGACCGGCAAATAATTACGCGATCCACCAAATGGAAAATACCGCCTTTTGATGTTTACGCTACAAAAGAAGATATTCTTAATATTGCAGTTGGGTTGCCGACGTCTTTTTTCATTAAAAGGTTTCGTATATTTAAATTACTTTTGACTCTCACATGGTGCCTGTAGACTGAGATTTGAAATCATCGTACGTGTTGTCTGTGGACGTAATTAATCGCTCTCTACACCTAGCTCTTTGTCTAACACTACCGTCCAGTTGTATTTCTGCCTAGGACAAAGCTGCCATGTCTAATATGCTGCAGTTAGAGCTCTCTCATTACTGGTTAAGTGGAATCTTCCTCGCCTCTATCCTACAGCATAATTTCTCCAGTGCCAAATATTATCAGTACGTCAAATTTGTACTGAATTCACTTCTGAAGATTCACTCGCTCATTAAATTCAATCCCTTACTAGTAAATATCATTTACACCCAAATTTCAAGCTAACTACACCTTTACACAGAAATCCTTCTGTTTCCTTGTGAGGCAACATATTATATTACCACATGAGTATTAAGTAAGTGGTAAGCGATACGGCTGTCCATCACAGTTGCAGTGCTACTTAAAGGTTATAATCGCAAAGATCTTCGAGGCACTGCCACTGCCCCCGTCACCCAGACATAAGTTGTGTTGCCATGTGCCTGTAATTTCTCCACTCCACTTCCTCCACTTGCAATTTGAACATATTTTCCACGAGAAAATCAAAAATTAAAAATAAAATATTTGTAATAAAATTAAAAAAATAATAAAATACTATTAATTATCCGTTTATACGTACGTAATTATGTAACATAGATCTACTATGTTATATGCTGTGTCATGTCTATTTAATTACAATAACTGCATGCAACACTGTTCATCACAATGTACTTTGTAATGTACTGTAGTTCATTTGACGGTTGTCAACCTGGTAACGTTTCTTGCAATGCCATGGTATGGCAAGTTCATAGAATATACAAAGCAGTGGAAGTGATATGAGAGACACTTTAGTACCAACGCCGTTGTGACAGTGCCACACTCTTAAAAACTTAACTTTACATTACGCATTAAAATAACGTAGTTTTGATCGATACTTGTTAAACAAATTTTCAAAATGGTTCTGTTTCTGGTTTGACAGTATTCTTTCAGTTTAATTAGTAGCAAGTATTTAGAAAACAGTACCTATACCCCTGAAATATTGCTTTTGCGGTTGGCATAGTGATATTTACAAAGCTACATGTAGTACGCAGATGTTTACATAATTTCGAAAATCTCCACATTTCTAGGCTCTTTGTCATCAATTTATAGGAATTTGATTAAAATATATTAGAGATTTGAAATATAATGTTCCTTTTTTGTTTTTAAATAAAGGGAGACCCGAAACTTTGCACGTTTTAAATGTAGTTAATAGATGTTTCCGTACAAACACCACATAAGTTTTAAATTATGCAGTTAACAAACCACTTTTTATTTTATGTAACAAAATAATGAAAATCAACGGGGTTAACGGGTGACGGTAATAAAGATTTAATATTAAACATATTTTTAATTGTGTGAAAACCCTAATTAAGATAGTTATCTGGGTGAGCAATGATAAATACAAAACACGGTGTGGCGGCTTTAGACGCCGCCTATTATCACCGGCTGGCTGGGGCAGTCTCTTTGGACGAGAGTCGCCAAGGAGAGTGTCACACTTGCCGAAAATGTTTGACAGTTTTTAGTTACCTACGTAAATAGTCATGTCAGCGATAGCAAATTGTCTGCCCGGTTTGATAAAATGCTATTTGCAAAAACCACGAAACATTATAATTATATCGCCATTCATGAAGTTCGCGAGACCGTTTTATTGTTCGTTAGGGGAGCCATACATTCCCCAAATTATTTACATTATTTTTTTATTATAAAAATTGTTTTTTATTTCATAATTCCCAGTGCCAACAGTAAAGCGACACATGCAATGATATGTGATAAAGTACACACTTATTTTTCTATAAATCTAGTCATATATCATTAAAATTTCTTGATACCTCCAATCTTAGAATAATAACGCATATAATGATAGTTTCATATCAAATGAACTGTCACAAGTGAGACAAAAATCAAATTCATGTAGGCTAGTTTTAGTAGTAGGTTAATTTTCGGTTTTAGTGAATATTTATATAAAAATATAAGTTGAAACGCGTTACTTCCTTGTGGAATGTGATGTTAGTATCTATTCTATGTTTGTCTGACGTACGTTTACACTCATTTACAGCACATTTCGTCATTTTTCGCTAAAATTCTTGAGCTGTTCGTGGTGCAAGTTGACCTTGAGCACTGACGGCCCGCCCGCCTGTGTAGGCCCATTGGGAGCGCTTCAATTTGCCTCAGCGTGTGCGGGCTAAGTTTCTATGCGTTATTATTCTAAGCCTCCAATGATCAATACGCCACCTTAATTTATGACCTGTTCTGTATTAATTTTGTTTTTTGTTTCTGTGTCTTTTTTACACAAAATTAATTTTTTATTCGAATTTGATTTTTGCTTTCTTAATTTTTCTCACAAAATTCGGGGAGTGTAATAGAAAATGACCAAAAAATTAAGTGAATGTAGTGTTATTTGGAGTTATCTTTCTGTACGCCATGGGTTTGGTTTTTATTCTCTGGTGGGCCATTTTTGGACTATACTTTATCCAGGCCACAGGGGCAAAGTTTTTGCGGTTTTTTCACGTTTGTTTTTAGAAGATGGTACTGACAACCCAGAGACCAAAAACGTGTTATATAGCAAACGAAATTAGATATATAGTATAACAACTTTTCATAAAAAATGAACGTTAGTGGAATCCACTAGCGTTTATCCTGTGGTGGTAAGTATCACTCCTACCCATAACAATTGCAGCGCCATCCAGAGTTTGAAATCGCAAAAATTGCCCGGCACTGCCAATGAACCCGTCGCTTTGACTCATAAAGATGACAAGTGTGTCTGTAGCTTTATTATTTATTTCCACCCTCTAAGAGCTTTACCAGCAACCTTACCCTTCAAAACTGGTTTACTTAGTTTAGTTGTCTCAATATTACAAATTTCATAGAAATACAATTTTTTTTGTAGTTTACATGCCAGTTTATGCTACTCCTCGAAAAGGGAACGCCAGTTTACAAAATAATGAAGACATAATTATTTATTTAATTACTATTATTTATATAATAGTAAGACATAAGTACACAATAGTGTACAAATGAACATAATTAATTAAACTAATAAATAATTGAATTAAACTAACAGTTTCAAATGTATACAGGAAATGTCAATATGGATTCTTAATACGTGAGGCGCACTGTAAGTTTTCGAAATGAATAGGAAAAAAATAAATTAATTTATTGTTTCTCAAAATATTCTCCGTTAGCGTTAATGCACTTTTTCATACGACTAAACCATTTTTGAAAACATTTATGCCACTCCTCCGTGACAATCTCTGAAACATATTTTTCATACTCTTCGACAGCCTCTTCAGGCGATAAAAATCGTTGACCGCGTAACTGGTTCTTAATTCTTGGAAATA